TGGTTATCTTGATTTCGTGGTTGTGTTTGTCGTTGTCGTTCTGGATAACTTTGCAAGCTATTGATCTTCCTTCAATTTGTTCCATCTTTTGCAGCATTTTCTTCATCGGCTCAGTGGTCGGTTCTGATTCCTCTTGAATTGCTGGGAGGTGACGTGCCAGTCGCAAGTTGACATCTTCTGAGTCCATGTCCAGAATCGCGGCCAGCGTGGATTTTCTCTTGCCCCCAACCTCTGCCTCTCGGGTGAGCAGAATGTCTCTACGTCGTCGGTCGAACATCACCAGTGCATCCTTGAGTGCCTTTAAACTTGCAAATTTCTTGTAGCGAAAATACTCTTGGTAGTGGGGTTGCATATGATCAACTATGAGGGTCATTAGTGAATCTTCATCCAATAGCATCCCACTTTGTGCATGTAAGTTAGTAATCCGGTAGAAGAAAGTTGCTCCTGTTTCGTTGGAACTTTGACGTGTGGTAATAAACTGATTGACACGGTCCGGCACAAATTCCTTCTCGAAGAGGCGGCGTAGTTGTGGCCACTTCAGCTCCAGCCAGCCATTGGATTGCACGCCACAATCGTTAAAGCAAAATTGTGACTTCAGATCTCGCTCCGCTATTTCCAGCCAGTTGGCTGCTGCACCCGTAAGATACCGGGGAAATGTGTCCACCTTCGCCTGGTCAGTGTAGTTCGCAACCATTTTCTCATATTCTCTGATGAACTTGGAGGCATTGGATTCGGGCATCCCATCAAAATCCTTTTATCGCGCTGTTGAAGGACTGAATGCATCATCAGTCCCGTTGTGTTCATCCCCATGCCAAAAAATGGTGAGGCTGCTGTCATAGCCCCTGTCCTGCGGCGGTGGTGTGTTCTCACACTATCGTCGTCTATCTCCTCTTCCTCGTCATCATTTCTGACAACTGCGCCATATGACATCTTCCTCCGTTTTACCACGGTGTCCTTTCTTATCGGTGTGTTCTGCCTCTTGATGTTGGGGTTCTCCGTCATCATCTCCTCGAATTCTTTTTGCATGGTCTGTTGGTCTATTAGGTGTTCTTGCAATGTACGTTGTATGAGGTGTGCGTATTCTTCCTTCTGTTCCTTATAAAACCCAAGAATCATTATATCATCCTCCAGATTTCTTGTCTCCTCATCCGAACACTGGATTAACTACAGGCCTTCTTCCTTGTATTTTTCTCTCTCTCTTTCGCCTGTTGCTCCTAATATCTGCATGGCATTGTATCTAATCCTGGACCTCTTCCACGCTGGAAAGGAAATGCCGACAGGAGTAGTTTCCACTCCATGTACACTTTCCTCGTCTCCATCCGGGTCTTGTCCATTTTGCATATTTATTTGATCGGTTGTTGATGGTGGTGGTAAAGTCCGAACTGTGGGAGATGGTGGTCTTGGCTCCGTGTCTTCTTCACCAGGCATTTTTTTGGTGAATCTCACACGCCGTCTTGTGACGTACTTGCCTTCTTGTGTATTTGGAAATCTCGATGTGTGGGGTGTGGAGGTGTTCTGGGGACGAAATCTGGGATCAGGTTGAAAAGGGGTCTCTTGTGGGGTCGGGGTGGGGTAACTCATTCGCGAACCAATTTTTGAGTCTGTCTCTCTGTGCCTCCACTATTTAGATTAGATGAGAGTAGATGAAATGAAATGTCTCTACTAATGATGATGCACACTGCTAAGATCGTTCTCCTTTCTCTCAACTTGTCTCACTTTGTCTCAAGATGCCTCGCTCATTTTATAATACACGACTAGCATAATGCATATAGTGTGCAAAAGGATGCATAACGTGTGCAAGATAATGCAGCAAAATTCTATCATGATTTTATGATCTCATCCCCTTCTTTCTGCTATGAATAATGAGGTGGTACGCACTAGATGCTTGCACAAATTATCTAAAGGGTGTTAATAAAGTCCGATCCCATGAATTTTTTGGAGCGCGGTTGTTACAAATTCAGCTGGAACTTCTGAACCAGTGAAGTTATTTATTTCAAATTTTTACCATGGGAGGAACAACTAAACGTGTAAGTCATGAGCATCTTAGAGTTAAGATACAAACATTGCATCAGCAGGGGTTTAAACCTGCAGAAATTGTGCATAAATTGGGCTGCAGCCGCAGAACTGTTTGGAAATGGAAGAACAAAAATTTTGTCCACGACAAAAAGCGACCCGGGCGACCCAGAAAGGTGTCACCTACCACAAAGAGAATGATTAAAAACAGACTTTACAAGAAAACCGGTAGTTCATTACGTAATTGTGCAAGGGAGTTAAATGACTCAAAACGCTATAAAGAGAACAAGAACCAAATTAACTATGTGACCGTGCAAAAATTTGTGAAATCTACGAGGTGGGGTCACACAGCTTACAAACTAACCAAAAAACCTCTCATGTCACAAAAAATATCGATGACCGTCTGAAATTTGGAGAACTCCTTCAGAAAAGTGGCCATTTGAGTGAAAAAAGACTTGGTGAAGAATTGCGCAGTCACATCCTTTGGACTGACGAATCTATTATTGAGCTATATCCAAAATTGAACCAACAAAATGTTCGTTACAGGACAGAAAACAAATCGGATGTACCATCAAGAGCAGTCCCAAAATTCGGGCTTAAAGTTATGGTAGCGGGTGGATTTTGTGCACGTGGCGTGACTCCTCTACATATCATACCAAAAGGCCAAACAGTCAATGCAAAGTATTATATGGAAAAAATATTACCTATCTATTTCGATAGCATGGGGAACAAGGAAATATTTCCGAATGAAAGAAAAATAGTTTTCATGCAGGATGGTGCTACAGCCCATACAGCAAAAGCGAGTTTGAGTCTCATCAAGACGCAAGTTTCAACGGTCTGGAGCAAGGGGGTGTGGCCCGGAAACAGCCCAGATTTGAATCCCCTGGAGAACCTGTGGTCCATACTTAAGGAAAATGTATGGAACCACAACCCCGGACGAGGGAAGAGCTAGTAAAAAAAGTTCAAGATGTATGGAATTCGATTCCCACAGACACATTGGAAAAATTAGCACAGAGCCTTAAACAAAGAGTTGAGGGCATGGTTAAAGTAAATGGTAACAAGACCAAATACTAAGGTAAATATGTCGAACATTTTTTGTAAGTATCACGGGTAGTTTTTTTTATACTAGCCTTCACTTTTTTATAGGAAAAATGGGATCGGACTTTATTAACACCCTTTATATTGCTCTCATCTTTCTTCCTACTATCTTTTTGGCAACTCCAGGAAAGGCTCGTACGTCGTCTGGAAATTGGAGTGGTGGTGCTGGTGGAAAGTCGGGCCGCAAATCTCACTAATTTTTCACAATTGCTGGAAAAGTCACTCTTCTCTTGGTTCTCGTATTATCAGTTCACTTTCTCTCGTCTTTTGTTCGTGACAATAACACTTCACACTTTCACTATTGTGCATAGGATTCCTCAATTTCTCTCAAAATATTTTCAGCCAAGGCGAGCAGCAGCACCAATCTAGCTTTTAAATCCGCCATTTCTGCTTTTAATGCTTCGACCCGCTTTGCGGTTTCTTCTATTTGGCTTAACGAAGGCATTTTTATTGACCACACAAATCTTAATGAATGACTTACAGTTTTAAGGTCTTTGTTTATTCCTTTCTGGGACACGGTAAAGTTCACCAATTTCACAGTTCTCGCTCTTGCTCACATCAAAAGTTCACAGTTTCTCCAGTTTAAAAACAGAATAAAATAATCGCGAATTTGCACTATACTTTGTTCCTTTCCAAATATAAGGTCTTACCGCTGAGTTGGTGTTAACTTTCACTCTGTCCAGATATCACTCAGTTCTTTCACTCGATTTTCACTCAGTTCTTTCGCTCGCTGACTTACTTCTTCTGCAGCGATCTCGCCGCTGACACCATATGAGAATTGTCGTAAATTATGTTTGTAAATGTGGTTAATTTATTTATTGGGCGTGCGATTACGTAACTATTTGCAAAAGAATAAACTACGCATAAAATGATTTTCAGTGGTTGTGGACTTGGTGATATTTATTTCTCTCGAGAGAGGATGAAACTCATGTGTGAAAAAGTGGTGGACGTTTGTGTCCCAATAAAGAAGCAGCTTGAGACGCAGTATTTGGTGGTCTGACTACATATACGTTTATTCCCTCCTTCCACTTTGCTGTCCAAAAACCCAATAATCTACTTTACAATCTCAACCTTTTCATATCGTTTTCTCTCTCCCCCACTACTTAAGGATCTATGTACATACGTGTATCTTACAATCTAACATAATGCTGCCTTTGCACTCTCTCACGCTTCTGCATGGGTCAAGAGTCAAGCATAATAAATTTTAATGGTTGGCTGGAACTTTGTTGCTGGCTGGTCGAAACTGGACACTTTTCACCAGATCCTGGTCTCTGGTTGAGATGAGATGCTGACAATATTACTCCATTTAATGCAGTTTAATTGTTTATTGTAGCACATAGGAATATTGAAACATCAAATACATACAAAACAGACAATGTATAGACTTTTGCATGTCAAATGTGAAGTAAAATTTGATGTTGGCCTAATATTAACACCAATTATGGCACACATTGGTGCAAAAGCTATGCGCCTGGCCTATAAAGAGCCGCTGAATTTGTCAATTTGTTCGACATCAAACAATCTGCCGGTGAAGATGAACGGCAAATTTTTCAGCTCAGTCAGATCACTGTTAACCATGATTAACGACTGAATCAGTATTTTTACGGAAGCAACAATTTAAAGTTAAAGAATTCAACACATCTTAATTTCGGGAGAGGACAGTAGAAAGAATGGAAAAATATCGTATGTTTGAGAATATGTAATGTTAGTGTTACTTCACTCCATTCTCAGTGATTATTCTCTTGCGAGACTTAATCCTAATCGTGATTAAGAATTAATAATTTGGATACGCTTTGTCGGGATTAAGGATTAAGGATTAATGGCGTGGAAATATTTCGTCGGGATTAATGATTAAGGATTAATTGCATACAATTTTTTGTCGGGATTAAGCATTAAGGATTATTAATCCTTAATCCCAATCCTTAATCCGTTAATCACGATTAATTAATCACGGATCTCTGACATTTATGTATAATCACCCTGACGAAGAATACATGATTCACCTGTTATCTAAAACAATTATAAACTACTTCAAAATATATATAAACAAGTATAAAATTTCTTACTTACTTCCTAATATCTTGGCATTGGGAAAACCATCCAAAAATCTGGTACGAAGCCCAGCCAGCTCACCTGTCCTAGTATACCAACAAACGTTGATGTGAACTTCTCTCACCGATTTCACAGCCAGACATGTGCAGCCCTCTGCCGGCAGAAATGCGGCAACCGTAGGCAAGTCGTAGCTGTGAACGCACAAAATTTCCAATACTGGGAAGCACACCTTGTAATCAATCCGTCCAAAGCGTCCTGGAATACTTTCAAATTCAAATCCAACTTTCTTAGTCTTCGTGTTATCAATCCCGAAGTTTTTCATGGCCGGAAGTGCTGGGAATTTATATTCCGTTTCTTCATCGTCAGAAGAAAATTTTTCCAGAGTTGGGGAATGTTCCTTCAACAACTCGTACAGAATATTTGGCATCTCGTCATCGCGAAGGTCGTAACTCTCATGGTCCACATAAAGATCAAGTTTTTTCAGTCGAGAAGGAATTTTGAACAGACATTCTAACCGATCTGCGTCCAAATCTCCGGTTAATTCCAGCGAATTAAGTGATCTGAAAAGTAAACAACAATTAATTTATATTTACCCAGCAGGGTGGCGGCTCTGCAAGTGATATACCACGCCAGTGTCATGCAACAAATGTCATTTCGTATTTGTCAAGGCTTCAAAGTGCCATCCATGTCTTAAATCTCGTATCACACAGATGTAAAAGTGAAGAGAGGTTTGATCCGGATGGATTTGAAAACTTGTGCAAACGTTACATTGGAAAAGAATTGGTTGGTGTCACTGTTAATCGTGCATTTGTCATAAATGTCACCCGACAAACATGAAATTTTCTGTGTAATGTAAGCTGAGAATGGTAGAAAATGACACAATTGATGTCTGACAAATATGTAACTTTGGCATTTATGACACGACAAATTGACACAGAAAATACGACAGGCACATCACTCACTTGCAGTGGAAACTTTTGTAGCATTTCCACGTTCGAAATTTCATATAAATTGTTACAGTCAATTTTTAGAACTTCCAAAGCTGGGAAACTTTCCGTAATAGCTTTCCCAACCATTTTAAGAGGAGGATTTCTAGGACATTGAGAATCAAACAGGCGACAATCGATCACAAGTTTCTTTAATTTTGGGAAAACGGTGCCAGTACATGGGACGAACTCTTGATCGAAGAACCATTCATACTTTAATTCCTCCAGAGTGGGGGAAGAACTCAATATAATTTTGTCACACAAGTCCCTTTGCCAATCTTCCCAGATGTAGAAGTGGACAACAATTGATTTTACGTTCCTGACCGAGGGAAACGTTTCAAGATCCGTGGGTGCTAAGGTGGACTTATACGAGGAAAACTTTAGATAGGTATTGAATCCCAGTTTTTCCTCCATTCTTCCATCCAATCTCCACTCTTTGCGATGTCGGTTATCACAATTTCCTGAATCAAGTCGAATGTTGGTAAGGGTCCGCGCCTTCAGAACGGGGGTGGCCTCGTAATTCCACGACCTGCAGACTAGTTGACATTTTTTAATGGCACGGATTCCAAGGAACTTGCAGACATGCGGAATTACCTACAAAATCAATAACAAAATAGCAAATAAAAGATTTACAAAGTGCCAGAAAAAAACGAGTTTTTTCATTTAAAAAATAATGCATAAATAATAGGGTTGCCGCGGGTAGCGAAAATGCTACCCGTTACCCGACCCGCTACCCGCAGCACAACTACCCGTACCCGTGCGGGTACCCGTTACCCGCTACCCGTTGTGAAAATTAAGTTAAAAACTGATAAACCTTAAGAATAAATTTGATTTAATCAATTATTTGCTGAATTGGGTTATTCCTTAGTTTAAGATAATGCTGTGCCAGTTATGAATGCCATAATTTGCAAGATAGCATTCGATGTTTCCGAAACCAGTCTTTTTGGCTTACAATGGAACCTTTCAAGCGTCACCGGAATTTGTTGTCCAATTATATAAAAAAATAAGCCAAAAATTAGGAATTATCACTAATCTTTTCATTGAATATCCCGTTTAGCTATTAAGTCCATCATAGTTTTTGTCCAGTGGAAAAAAATATGCAGACAATTTATTTAAAAAATGAACTTTGCCGCCAATATTTTTCTTCAGAGTGGACATTAAACGGAAAGTGTCTCGCGATTCCTAATTTTTGGCTTGAATTTTTGATATACTCCCTGGACCCTCGTAGTGCAGCTTGGTGTGTTTGAAAAAAGGTTAATTTTAATTTTTTGAAATCTTGATTTGAATTAAATTTTCATAAAAAATCGTCTACAAATAAAATTTTTTCTGTTAATTGGATTCAGGCTTTTAGCCTTCAAACCACAAATTAAAATCTCGTCAGCCCTACATACATAAATACACACAAATAAAGTTAAAGTATTACTGATATTTTAGAGCGGGCAAATTATACTTGTGTAGCATTAATTTCTCCGCATTTCCAGACGTTAAAAGCATTTAATGCTTCCGTGGCTGCTGAAAACACACGCTAACTATAAACGGTAGGTGCTGGCAAATGGTAAATTTTGGAATGGATAAATAATAAATTGACGCTTTTTTTTGCTAAATGCATTAACTTGCTGCGAAGTTTCTTTGTGAACTGATTTATGTCGAAAATTAAATAAAAACTGAACTACCCGTTACCCGTGCGGGTAGTTCTCGCTACCCGCAGATAACGGGTACCCGCAAGAATCGTGCGGGTATGCGGGTAACGGGTACCCGACCCGTTACCCGCGGCAACCCTAATAAATAATATTACATCTGGAATCAGAGTAGGCTCAGAGTAATGACTGGCAGTGGAGTTGTCTTCATTATCAGGACCATATTTAGAATCTCCTCCCTTAAAATGAATACGCAATTGTTACAAAAGTAAAAAAAAATATACCATATTTTTAATAACTTACTTCAGATTTCTCACCCCGTAACATGCTAATGATCAAGGCAGCCAATAATGGAATGAGTTGCGGTAAATTTCTAGTTTATACTTTTTAAATTTAATTTGAAATTAAATTTCTGATTTTTTTTACTGGTTTTTTTGATTGACAAATATTATTTCCAGGCGAACCATGCGACAACTGGTAAAATATTTTACCCAGATGACGAATGAGTTCACAAGTGTTCGAGCTTTCTCCGCCTGTAAGAACACGACCACCACTTTGTTTCTCATACGTATGCAAATCTTTCTCATGCGTATGAAAATCTTTCTCATGCATTCTGTAAATGCGCTATAAACATGCGCATGAAGTATACATGATGTAAAAGTCTTGTAAAAGTTAAACCCTCAAGATTGAGTAGACCTGAGGACAAAACTACAAACATATATGACGATTTCCATCAGCTATCGCCGGTAAAAAAGGTCATATTTTATTTTCTGCTGTTTTAGCTCAAAAACCTGCTCAGCGGGTCCGAACTATTCGATTTAGACAGTTTTTAAAATTTCCACGTCCCCCTCCGTCTAATGGTATGGGGGAAAGCACTACCTTCACCAAGCGAGGAATTTTATTGAGTTTGCCTCAATCCACTGCTGTGTTAGCTCTCAATCTGCTCCTGTGTAAACGTCTGCATGCACGGAAAACCAAAACTCAATGATACTCATCGGTCTCTATAAAATCTGGGGGTGGTCCCAGACCCCATAAAGTGTATATATTCTGAATCCTCCCACCAAGACCTTTCCAACGATACCCCACTTATGGGGTTATGTGAGACTTTGCCTGGTGACCTTTTTCGTTTGTGCGAAAAACTTGTTGACCTTGGAAAAATTTAAAAATCCTTAACGAATCTGATAGTACAAGTCAGTCTGATCAGTTTTTATCAAATATGAAGAAAATCTATCGGGGATTGTTGAAATGCGAGCTATTTAAAAAATGGTGATGGATGAGCCAACTTTGTAACTTGACCTCATGTCATTTTGAGGTCAAGGAGTACGGGTAGGGCCTAGCGCTTCAGGATGACCCAAAAGCGTACCCCGGGGATTGTCCATGCGAAGTTTGACCGCCGTGGGCCTACTGGTTACTTTACAATCGAGGGAGAAAGTTGGCAAGTTTTGTCAAAAAAGGTAGTGCTTTCCCCCATACCATTAGACGGAGGGGGACGTGGAAATTTTAAAAACTGTCTAAATCGAATAGTTCGGACCCGCTGAGCAGGTTTTTGAGCAAAAACAGCAGAAAATAAAATATGACCTTTTTTACCGGCGATAGTTGATGGAAATCGTCATATGTGAAATTTTCCTATAGTTGGATTAGTTTAATCCAATTGCATTTTGTCCTCCAATAATTCATTCAGCCAAGAATGCAATGCATAACAATGATTCCACGTAGCTTGAATGTAATTTTACGCTTTTTTAAAAAGCAAACAATGTATCTATTTCACATAACTTAATTTGTAGTGCATTTTCTCATTTGAATTAATAAGCAAATATTTTAGCTTTTACTATGTTGACTCCACTAATGTTAAAGCTTATACAATTTTAATTCAAGAACGAGTTTAGGACTTGTAGCGATTTTTTCGATTATCCCACGTTAGCCTGTGCCATTAAAGATATTGTCAAGTCCAAAAAAATTATCAATAAAGTTTCAACAGAGTTTCAAGATACACATGTATAAATGCACGGAATTAATATCTAACGAAATTACAAATTCCCTGTGATTTAATTTGTTACAGATTGCATCTCTTTCAACCCATCGTTTCCATAACTCGATTCAGTCTATAGTGCCATCACTGACATATGTACATACATGCATACGTCCACATTCGGCAATTAAAATGTTGAAATCTGATTAATCGGTTAGCTAAACTATTATTAACGGAGTAGCGCAACGTCATATGTATATTTCCCACCTATGGGAGGCGAAACTGATGAAATTTTCCCAATTTTGTTCTGTGTTTATTTTGCTAACTACCCCAATTAAGACCTGCCTCACTACAAAGAGCTCGTTGTTACCAACAATCATAGATCGAAGTACGCCGGGCTTGGAGTGCGTACTCCGGCCTCCGGAGGCCGGAGTATGCGACTTTTTCTGGAGTACGTAGTACGCGGAGTACGCGAGGTTTGGTGGTAGTACGCAAAATATCCGATCTATGCTAAAAGTGCGATGACGCCAGCAGTCTCGCTCCGATTTTGATGAAACTTCGATAATTATGTAATGTAGCCTTAGGTAAATAATTAATTGGGATGCACCGAGTAGTGAAAAATGAGACTCGGCGGAGCACCGAGTACTCGGCAACTCTTGAAACGAGTACTCGGCCGAGCTCCGAGTACCGAGTAATTCATAAAAATTGGGAAAAATTTAATAACAATGAATATCTCCCAGCGTAATCTACCTAATTTGGACGATACTAGTGGCGCCACAATTATGTAAACAGGTTTGGCGGAGATATTTGCATACAAAGAGGTGAAAACGTGTCCTAAAGTTAATAAATTTTACACTTTCCAAATTCACTGCACGTTTATTCCTACTCGGATACAAATATCTATCAAATATCTACAAATAATGGATAGATATTTGCATTAGGAGATAATTGTCTTATGAAATTGTGATATATTAACTATTTACATAAATCTGTGGTCAATTGAAATTAATTTGGTCAGGATCCATTAGCATACGTTTGGTGATATCTATTGCTGACACAGTCCAAAAACAACTCACAGCTGACTTAAAATACACAAACATGTTACGAAGTATATTTTGCAAAACCCAAAATGCAAGAAAACTTAATGAAATCGGTTTCATGGACAAGATAATTTGTTAAAAAATGGCCAAAAAAATTGAGAAAATACTCGGCCGAGTTGGGCGACAATACTCGGCCGAGTGCAAGTAGTAAAACTACACGCCGAGTCGGCCGAGTACTCGGTGCATCCCTAATAATTAAACACATGTTTCGGGATTTTTCATACTGCTAAGTTTAAACAAAGTTATGATGGTATATGTAAATAAGAACGAAATAAATTGAGTGAAACTTTGTGGCCCCAAGTCGTGTCACACCCCTCGCACCCAGGGGGAGTGGTCGGGGCAAAATGAGATTTAACAAAAAATTTAATCTATAGATGAAAATTGAATCTATAGACACAGTGAAATTGAGTGTTCCCGAAATATCGTAGAAGTGGTTGGCGTGAAATAAAGTAAAATAGTACAACCGAATAGGTGAATTTAATTTGTCCGAATTTGCAACAAAAAAAAGTCTGAAGCTACTTCATTATGTGCGTTTACTACGGTTAATTTTCATAATAAAAAAGCCACTCGTTCGACGAGGAGCTACATACTCTTCATTAAAAACAAATATAGACATCGGTCCCTAAGGTCCAACGGGTTTTAAATTTGAAGTTTTGTATCTCCACTTTCTTCCACTTTCTCCAAAGGGTGATTTTCAAATACTTCATCGGCTTGTCTTAAGATTTTACCTAAAAAATCATTAGTTTTTTGATTTACAAAGCTTGGAGACTTTACTTATTATTTTTTTCTTCCATATGAAACTATTTAATTTTTAGTCGTTATGGGATACAAAAAATCGACATGCAACTTTGTGAAATTATGATCTTAGAATAAAAAACTACGATGATTAACAAGTTTGACCCGAATCGAATTTAATAGTGAGCCTAATGGTTTTCACGTCAACTGGCTTGCACATATTACTAACGTTTGTAATAAATATTATGCTTTAACAAAGTCTACATTGTTATTTAGGAAATTTATTCAATTATAAATTACAACTTATTCTCGTAACAACTTCATAAAAATATGTTCGTTTCGAGCAACACTAATATAGCAATTCTCGAGTGGAAGTAATTACTTATCTCAAAACATAAATGACCAAATAATATATGCTTAAAATTTACTTCCTCTCATGATTAATTCCCAAAACTCTCGCGTTTGGAAAAACGTCCAAAAATCTGTCGCAAAGGCCAGCTAATTCCTCTGTTCGTGTATACCACAAAAGGTTGATGTGCACTCGTCGCAACGATTTCATCGCCGTACATGTGCTGCCTTCTGGCGGAAGAGATGCATCAACAGTGGATAAGTCGTAACTGTGAACGCACAAGATTTCCAAGACTGGAAAGCACACCTTGTAATCAATCCGTCCAAAGCGTCCTGATCCTGGACCACTTTCAAATTCAAATCCAACTTTTTTAGTTTTATTGTGATAAATCCAGAAGCTTTTCATGACCGGAAACGCCGGAAATTTCCAACCTGTTTCTTCATCATCGGAGCCCAAACGGATAGACAATTTTCCAGAGTGAGCGAATGCTTCTTTAACAATTTGTACAGAATGGTTGACAGTTCGTCGGCGCGAAGGTGGTCAGTCTCAAAGGTCGCGCTAACGTCAAGTTTTTTTAAACGAGAAGGAATTTTGAGCAGACATTCTAACCGGTTTGCGTTCAACTTTCCAGTCAATTCCAGCGAATGAAGTGATCTGAAAAGGAAGTAAAAATTAAATCAGATTAATTTAACCGATGTGCAACCATATTATATTTGTCAGAAATATCATATTTTCCTAATTTTCAACCTACAAACACGACGTTTCCTTCGTTATAAAGTCGACCAGTTATATGTGCATAAATTCCAAACAATTACATAGATAATAAATAGCTGACGAATGCAGGTCACCTTGACATACATATCTACGACACGAAAAACAGGAGCATCCCTAACTTACCATGGGAAGTTTTGTAGCATATTAATTTTCTAAATTTTATACAAGTGGCTACAGTCAATTTTAAGGAATTCCAAAGCTGGAAACGCTGCCGTAATAGCTTGGCCAATTATTTCGTACTGTAGATTTCCAGGACGAGGAGCTTGAACCCGGCCACACTGGAGCACTAGCTTTTTTAATTTAGGGAAAACAGTGCCCTCCCCACATGAGGGGAAATCTTGATGAAAATACCATTCGTACTTTAATTCCTCCAGAGTGGGGGCCGAACTCAATATAATTTTATCAGACAAGTCCTTCTGCCAGTCTTCTCTGATGTAAAAGTGGACAACAATTGACTTAACATTTCCGACCGAGGAGATCCAGCGGTGGTAGCATTGGTTTATACGATGAAATTTTTAGACGAGCATTAAATCCCAGCTTTTCCACAATTTCTGTATCCCATCTCCACTCCTTGTGACGTCGTTGATCATGCTTTCCAGAGGCAAGTTTAATTTCGATTAGTGTCCTCGCCTTTAGCACGGGGGTCGCTTCATAATTCCACGACCTGCAGACTAGTCGGCATTTTTTTATGGTTCCGATTCCAAGGAATTTGCATAGGTGAGGAATTACCTATGTATACAAATATGAATCAGCAACAAAATAAACAATATCTAAAGTTTAATATCTAAAGAAATATTGTCCAAATAATTTTACATCCGGAATAAGAATAGGACCGCAATAGGGACTGGTAGTGGGGTTGCCATTGTTATCAGAGGTCAATTTGAAATCTCGTTCCTTAGGAAAATATTTACAATTATTACAAAAGTACGCGAAAGTATGCTTCCGCTATTTTAGAAAGCTTACATCACGTTCCTCATTCCACAACATTATATTATCTTTAGAAGATAGAGAAAGCTTTCAAAGGATTAAGTTAAGGCAGTAAGTACGCTCCCAGGTTCCATGCACATTGTTCAGTCTAATACTTAAATTAAATTAGTTATAGGAAATTTTTGTGACGAATATTATTCTCGAACGGACCAGCGAGAATAACCAGATGATCAAAAATTAACAAGGCTTCGAGCTTACTCCGCCTTTATATACATAAAACCACCACCACCACAACTTTGTCTCTCTTCCACATGCAAATATTTTCCATGCATTTTATCTGCTGTGCATATGAAGCGATCAGAATGTAAATTATTAAGGGGTGAAAGCCCTTTATAAGATCGTTATGTCCGTCTGTCTGTCCGTCCGTCCGTCCGTCCGTCCGTCCGTCTGTCCGTAGCTCCGATAACTTTTGAACGAAAAGACATAGACACTTGAAATTTTGAACGTAAACTCCTAACGTCAATGGACAGGACGAGTTCGAAGATGGACACTGACATCGTCACCTGTGACGACGACGTCGTCACAGTGACGAAAAGTGACGAAAAAGTGTCACGTGTCAGTTTTGACATGTGACACATCATTTTTAACTATTTTTCAATGAGGAATTCGAAAATTCATGTCATTTTGTGTTTGGACGTCACCTGTGACGATGACATCGTCACGGTGACGAAAAGTGACGAAAAAGTGTCACTTGTCAGTTTTGACATGTGACACATCATTTTTAACTATTTTTCAATGTCAAATTCAATGGTGACCTCCATTTTGACCTCAGAGGTCATGAAAAGGTCATAGGACATATCTATTTCAATTTCAACTGAAATTTAACCCCGAATTCAATGGTGACCTCCATTTTGACCTCAGAGGTCATATAAAGGTCACATAAGGGTTATCAACTGTTAAATTTGACACAAATAAGACACAAAAGTCGAAAACACGTCAGAAGTGTCAATCTTAACAAATTTTCGAACAATTTGATATTCACATTGACGTATGACACTCCTTTCACCCCTTGGTTACATGCGTTGTAACGGTTTATTGTTTACCCCGTCATTTTGAAGCTTTAGAAAATTTCAAATTTGATCTCTCAGTGACCGTAAATTGTGGCGACGTCAATTAGTTAGGGCACCTACATACATATACATACATATGCGTGCAATGATTTGCAGAATCGTATCGAAATTATAAATGGCCAACTCTACGATTTAATGTGTTATACGCTTAATTTCTATGAAACCCATCATTTACATATATATCTTGATTATTCAATCACTGATTCTTCAATCAATCAATGAATTCATTCAATAATTGTCAGACAGAAGATCCGGTAAGTAAATTAAATGTGATCAATCACTGATCCCAACTATTTATTTCCCGAGTAGCGCAATGTCATATGAAGGTGTTTCCATGCAAATTGCAATGCATACGATGCGCAGCTGACGAAATTTTACATATTTACATATGCATTTTGCTCCGTGTTTGTATTGCCAAAACCTTTACAAATCTTTTGTGATTAATTCATTTGAGTAATGGGTTTGCACAGGACATTGCAAATCTATTCATGGAAGGTAATCGATACAATATATTCGTACGTATCTATCTACATATTACAAACCAGTAATTTACCGGTCAGAAAGTCAACAATGGTAATCACCCCAATTAAGCTGCAGTACACACAGTTATTACAGAATATCTATTTTGAACCGTGTTCGATAACGACGCCGAACATGAAACAAATACATACAAATCTAATTGAGCTACATACACTCTTAGAATTCCGGTATTATGAATACAATATCACGCACTACTCATACATACATGGGTATATATTTATACGAGTCTATCAATCTGGTCTTGATAAGGTTCGTCGTAGTAATGGTTCGGTGTTGCAGTTTTACAATATCGGTAACAAATTTATCCGAACTAGCGTACAAAAGCAGAAGAAAATTTAGTGTTGGGTATTTCGAGAACGCAATACCCAACTGACTAAACTCTTTACAGTAAACCTGTTCACTTTCATTAATTTGAGTGATTATGATGGTGAGTGATAGTGAATGAAAATTAATTTCCTGTGATTTTAATGAAAATTAGGGCAAGATTCAGTCATTTCTGATGAATGACTGTGAATGAAAGATTTCTCACTCGTTTCATTTGTCACCCTATGCCTAATATGTTTGAGGGGTGAAGTTAAATGAAGTGAAGTAAAATGAATCCGAACGAAAATGACTGAATGTGAATGAAAATCATCAATCAGAAATCGGGATGACTGACTTTTGAATGAAAACTAAATTTTTGAAAAGGGCTGCTTTACAGACAGTAATTTAAATATACTGTAAATTACAGTATATTAAAATTGTTAAGAGTAACAACTTTTTCCAACAGGTAAATTGTTCATCGTCATAAACTTACGACGCTAAACCCGATAGTACAAACCACTAATCCGGAACGGGTAGATCATGTACCATAAATACTTCAGTAATTATTTAATGCCAGTTTTCTAAGAGTGCAGGCACATACAGAATGCATTGGAACAGCTTGTTTAAGTATGGAAATCGAGCCCAAGTGTTAAATTCATGGTTCAGTCCACTCTATCCCAGCAACCTTGAACCATTCCAATTTTCGATTAAATAACATTTCCAGTCCCTTAAAAATGTTCACTAATCGCACCCTAAACATTATCCGAATTTCGATGGGAATCTACTCCTCGCTCGGAAGTAATCCGTACTCCTGGGATTCAAAACAAAACTGCATGTCTTTCTGCTCAACTTTAAGGAGAAATATTTCTTTTATGTTCGCCGTTTTAATTACTGTGATCCAATTGGGTTTCCTATTTTGTCGACTTATTCAACATTCTCAAGAATTGGAAGCTAATCGTTCATTCGAGGTAATTGTGTGGCTCTGGATTTGGATAATCTTAACATCTTGGGCCCTAGTTTCCTTCCATAATGGGTGGACCAAGAAGAGCGAAGTTGTCGGTATGTTTAAAGGGGTGCGACTTTTCGCACGATGTTTCGAGAACGGTAAGTTGCATGTGACCGCTAAATTCTATTTTAGTCTTAATATCGAGCTCACAAAATGTCGGATCTTCTAAAACATAAGAATTTTAAATATGCATGACGAGTGTTAAAAATATAGCGACAAGCCTTACAAATTAACTCAGAAATTTATTTTTACTAAAGAATCCTTCATAAATTTTGCCATCTAGGTACATACAAAAGTAATCAATTCTTCAAAAACTGGTATCATTAAAAATGTACGTGGTTTAATTTCCTTTCAGAATATCCAAAAGCAAGGATGAAAACCTTACTAAGAAATTTTAACTCGATCGATATCCATTTCCTGGTAGTAATTTGGATCATTTTCACTTACGTAACGGCTGTTTCCCTCATGTTTTTCGTCGCTCCTGGAAACTCGCAGTACTTTTATTCTCTCGTCGAGGCCAAGAGTCAAACGGGCTGGACAGGAATAGTCTTCATACTATTTCTTGCGCTGGAAGTGTATGCAAAATCGTCACAAGTTTTTATGATGGCGACCGAAGTATTTTCAATTATACCGGCCCTTCTCCCAGCTGCATTTTGGATGGATTACATTCGAAGGTAAGCCTATTTATTTATGGTGCATTCAAGGAAGGGGAATTTTGCTCTCACTCCCGAATTTTGATGCCTTATTGAGTTGAATTGTACACATACACATATGTACACTCAAAATAAAAATTTGTCGAATCAACACCGCCGGTATCAATACATATGTATATGACTGGTTGGATTTGTGTTCCCTTATTAGCTCACCCTGCGTAGCATGAGAGCTATTGAATTCCTCCTGTCCGTCTGTCTGTCCGTCCGTCCGTGTGTTCACGAGTTTTTTGCATCAATTGATGCTAATTAATAAGTCCCAAAACCAGTTTAACCCAAATTAGTAGCCCAACTGGTATGAAATAATCTATGTCAAACTTGGCTAACAATTTTTTCCGCTTATTTTCCACCCTTGGTGCATAATTCTATCAAAACCAAAATGGGTTGACCATTATTTAATAAGTTCGGCGCACCATTGGTATTGAACAAACCGAATCGAACTTTTTAATAAGTTAATAGCACCGTTGATACCTAACAATCGGTAATACAAAATGATGCGAAATAATTGGGGGACGGGACGCAAAACGCACCAATAGTGCAGAATATCCGGGAGAAATGATCATACAATTTTGACAAAGTTTTCAAAATTATGATTCCCGGATCGTCGCTAATACTGCACTAATGGTGTAAAGGACTGCCGGCTCTATTGCACCATGGGTGCAAGAATATCTACTAGGGTTGCCGCGGGTAACGGGTCGGGTACCCGTTACCCGCATACCCACACGATTCTTGCGGGTACCCGTTATCTGCGGGTAGCTGGAACTAACCGCACGGGTAACGGGTAGTTCAGTTTTTATTTAATTTTCCACATAATCCAGTTCACAAAGAAAGTTAACAGCAAATTAGTCCATTTACCAACAAAAGCGTCAATTTATTATTTATTTCATAATTTGCCATTCGCCATTTGCAAGCAACTAGCGTTTATGGTGAGGGTGTCTTTTTGGAAGCCAATGACAACCTCAAATGTTTTTCAAGTCCCGGAAATGCGGAAAAATTATTGTTTCTCAAGCATAATCTGCCAGCTCTAAAATATAAGAACTAATTTGTGTTGTATTTGTGTGTATTTATGTAAGACTGATGATATTTTAATTTGTTGTGATGAAAAATCATCTCAATCCGATTAAAGCCAAAAGTTTTATTCGTAGATGATTTTTTTCAATGGAAACTTCATTTAAATCAAAATTTCAAAAAATCAAACTAAAAAGTGAACCTTTTTCCAAGCTAAACCAAGATTGTCTAATGAATATATCAAAAAGTCAAGCCAAAAATTAGGAATCGCGTGATACTATCGCGTGATACTATCCGTTCAATGTCTACTTTGCGACAAAGTATTGGCGGCAAAGTTCAATTTTTAAGAAAATGTTTTGCATCTTTTTTCCTTGACTGGACGACAACGTGGTAGACTTCCAATCCCCCAATAGTTTTCTTTAAACGGTGTTATTCAACGGAAAGATAAGCGATAATTCCTAATTTTTGGCTTGATTGTTTTATATAATTCGATAAGAAATTCCGGTATAGCTTGAAAAATGTTCCATTGTAAACCAAAAAGTTTGGTTTC